CCCTTTCTTTCCCTGGGGTCTCCAGGGCTCCCCAGCCCTGGCACTCCCACCAAGCCCTGCCACCATCCTGTTTCAAGCACGGTAATCATCTCCCCCAACCCAACCACTTTCTTTCCCCAGCCATCCCTTATCCCAGCCAATTGAACACTGGCTGATCTTGTTTAAATGCTTTGGCTGTCAGGAGCAATGGGAAGGACTCACTGGTTGCTTGGTGGCTCAGTGCAGGATTGTTGTTTTGCATGAACCTCTTTAAGGTTGAGGTGTGCCTGGCTGGAGATGGGGTATAGGGATGTTTGGTGGTTTGGGGAGGGGGATCAGGGCATGATGCAGTGCCAGCAGTGAAAGGCACAGTTGTGAAGGTCCTGAAGGATTGGGGCAAAGAGCTTGAAGATGGTGTGTAGAGGGAGGAGGAGCCAGTGGCGGAACTCAAGAACCTGTGGGCACCATGGTGAGAGTGCTGGCCAGGCAGATAACCTTATTGTTGTGGACTGAGGAGGGGTGGCAAAGGGAGATTGGTCCAAAAAACCCTCCTGGATGCCATTAGAGGCCTGGGAATCTGCCCAGCCTGTACGAATCCCTCATTCAAAATACAGGGTGATCTCAACCTAGGTGAGAGGCAGGAGTCACAGACTGAATGACTGCTCTGGACAACCATGTTAATTGTGTTCCTGTCACAAGTAAACAGAGCTTGGTGCTCTCAACTAGTGGGTGTTTGTCTACCTCACAGAGTCTTTGCATGTAATGGCACAGTCAGCAGTCCCTGCTCATGCCACAGAGGAGGTCTGGGAGTGTTATGATCAGGAATGAAGTAGGGTGGACAGGTGTGGGGGGGAAGGGGCACAGCAGAACAACCATGTTAATTGTGTTCCTGTCACAAGTAAACAGAGCTTGGTGCTCTCAACTAGTGGGTGTTTGTCTACCTCACAGAGTCTTTGCATGTAATGGCACAGTCAGCAGTCCCTGCTCATGCCACAGAGGAGGTCTGGGAGTGTTATGATCAGGAATGAAGTAGGGTGGACAGGTGTGGGGGGGAAGGGGCACAGCAGAACAGGAGTGCGGCGGAGGGGGCATTAGTTCTCCACTGCCTCCATTTGCCTGTTCATTTACTGATTTATCAATATATCGACCTAACAGATGTCAGCAGGGCTGTGGGAGGCAGCACTAGAATAGCAGGGGGTCCTGCAGCTCAAGATCATGGTGGCTTAGTGGAAGTTATGTGGAAAGGGGTGGATGGGGGAAACACACCTGCCTTTCTCATCAGAAGCCGCATAATTCATCCTTTAAGAGTGAAGTAGGAAGAATGCAGCCCTGTGATGCCTGCTGGGTGAGGTACCATGGATGGACTATTCTTCCAAGTGCCTAATTATGAAAGGAGCCGGCTGCCTGCTCAGTTGAGGGTCCGCTACAGGATATGCTTTGGAAAACAGCTGCTGAATTCAGACACTAATTAGCCCCATCAGGATCCTCCCAGTCCTCTGCTACTGCAGGGTCAAGTCTGGGGTCTTTCTTTTAGGATGATTTTATTAGTATCAAAGTTGGGATTTTTTTACTTTTGGGAATCTTACAATGAATGGTTAAGTCTGCTGTTCTTGGTGTGTCACCCCCTGCAATCATTGGGAATGGTATGGCCCATGCAGATTACTCCTTCAGTTAGGGCTACAGGAGTCATTCTACCTCTTAACAGTGGAGAGGACTGGCAGACAGACAGACAGACTTTGCTGAGAGAGCAAGCTACAAATGGTTCTCCGAATCCCTCTGCGCAGAAGTGCCAGCTTCACCCCAGACCACCAGCCCTTGATGGAGATATCAAATCCCACCACAATGAAAATGGAAGTGAATGTGCTAGTTATGGGAGCAGACAGCGTGGGGAAATCAGGTGAGAATTTTAATCACCAAAGGAAGAACAGGGAGAACTTCCTATTGGGGTCCCCTGGAGCTGGAGGAAGCTCCCCCGGGGAAGGGATATGACTGTGAGTCACACCTTAGGGACTTTTAAAACAGAACTGGAGAAAGCTTTGAGAATATGCTTTATGGAGCACTCCTGCCATAGCCAAAGGACAATGGAGATGGGACCTGTTAGGTCTATTCCATCTCAACAGCTGTGATATTAAAATAGGAAACTAGAGCACATCTGCTTGAGCCAGAAAGAGAGTTTCACAATGGGTACATTCGCTAAAGTGAAAAATGATTCTTAGTCCATTGAAGTCCATTGAAATGCTTGTCTGGGGCAGTTTCTGGTCTATCCATCCTCTCTTAGCAAACCTGCTGGCTGGCCAACATGTAAATAAAATACAGAGATCATCTGCACACAGCATCGCAAGAGAGATGGTTCTTTTACAGAGCAGGCTGTCTATGCCAGGCTGTGGCTGGTACTGAGCTGGACTCAGCATAGTAATCACCACCCTTGGTTTTGCCAGGGAGGTTGTTTAAAATCCTTAAGATTTTTTTTTCTGTTCTTTTCCATGTAGCCTTGACGGTGCGTTTCCTCACCAGGCGATTCATTGGGGAATATGGAGACATGGGTGAGTGCCAAGCTGAGGGTTGGGGGTGGGAGGAAGGTGAACTGACCAATTTGGAAACATTTTGATTAGTATGACTGGGTCTGCCTGTGGGATTTGGCTGTTTCTTGAGCCTCTTTTTTTCCTCTCTAGGGCTCTTGCCTATTGCCTGCAGGCTTACAGGTTAAATCTACTCATTCGAGCCATTTGGTACATTTAGGAGAGTTTGCTGTAGAGATGTGAGGGGCTTCTGAGTGACCCACGGGGGGCAGCTAGTGTGGATGCAGGTGCAAGTGCACTGACTGAAGGACAAAAAGGAGATGGCTATGCCGCCAGGTTGGGTTACTGGGTGACAGACCCTCTGGCTGAATGTTCGGTATAGCTGGCATCTTGCATACAACACAAAGGCCATGGCTCTTGTGCCTGAAGTCTGATCTCCCAGCTGGAGGGGAGGATGCGTGTGCAGCAGGGAGGCAGAGTGTGGCAGGGTTGCTATGGAGAGAACACCGCTCTCTGGTTGTCTGTGGTCTATACAGGCAGTGATCTTTGTGCCTTTTGGCAGATTCCATCTACAACCACAGCCTGGCAGTGGAGGGCAGAGAGATTCTCCTCCACATATGGGATGTCCCCTGTTCACAGGTAAGGAGCCTCTGCTGCTACTGTCACACATTCTTGCCCTCCCAGGAGTACTACTGCCCTAGCTAAGAAGACCCAATGGCAAACTATGGACCTGAAGCACCAGCCAGACTGTAACCCCTGCTTCAGACTCTCTGCACCAGGACTAACATTTGGGCCAGCCAGTTGGCTCGTGGGCAGCTTGCAGGGATGGGGCCTGCTCTCTTGGGCTTCTGGCTGGAGGGTAAAGACCCTGGGACAGGAAAGAGTATCCCAAGGCTAGCACCTGGGCAGGACTTGCACCCTGTTCCACTAATCTCCAGGGCTACGTCTAGACTGGCATGATTTTCCGGAAATGCTTTTAATGGAAAAGTTTTCTGTTAAAAGCATTTTTGAAAAAGAGCGTCTAGATTGGCACGGACGCTTTTGCGCAAAAACACTTTTTGCGGAAAAGCATCTGTGGCCAATCTAGACGTGCTTTTCCGCAAAAAAGCCCCGATCGCCATTTTCGCGATCGGGGCTTTTTTGCGGAAAATAAATCTGTGCTGTCTACACTGGCCCTTTTGCACAAAAGTTTTTCAGAAAAAGATTTTTGCCCGAATGGGAGCAGCATAGTATTTCTGCAAAAACACTGACGATCTTACATGAGATCATCAGTGCTTTTGCGGAAATTCAAGCGGCCAGTGTAGACAGCTGGCAAGTTTTTCCGGAAAAGCAGCTGCTTTTCCAGAAAAAGTGGCCAGTCTAGGCACAGCCCAGGGGGAAAGAAAGCGGATGAAGCAGCAGCTGGCTCAGTGCTGGATCCGACTGAATGCTCCCCGCTCCCTCCTCGCATGGTACTTATTCAGTGCATGTAGCAGGGAATGCGGAGCAAGGTCCTAAGCCAAGAATGCCAAACTTCAGCCAGAGGAAGCATGGCCAAAAGCCCTCCTTGCTCCACAGTACATGAGGACAGTATACCTGACTCTAGTCTCTTCCCAAGTGTTCTGGCCTAGCCTTGGTGGGCTCTGCCAGGTATCGTCCCATCCCTTCACAGCCTTCCGAGTTTTGTGTTGCCCTTCTCTTTTCCTCCTCACCTTCCCTGTTTCCAACTTATCCCTTGAGATGTTCTTCCGTGGGGAGGATGTGAATGTCACCCTCCTCCCTTGCCCACCTGTCCAAAGACAGGGAGCTGCTCCAGAACACTCCAGCTGTTGATGCTTTGCATTGAAAGGCAGTTAGTTGCTTCTAGATGCAAGCACAGCTTCCTTGAATCAAACTGGTGAAGGGCTCCTCCCTTCCTGGGAGCTGGAGGGAGGATGGGCTTGAGTGTAGATGACTGGGTGATAAAATGTTACCTTTGCAGGCCATTGGGCTGACCTAGACCCAGACCAAAGTCTCTCTCCTCCTGCAGCTGGTATTTCCAGGCCAGGGTTGATGTGACTGGCAGGGTCACTACCCAGCCTGCATGTTGTTCAAAGGGGAGGGCAGGGACTTCAGTTCCCCCCTCCCCCCGCCAGATGATTGTATGACCTTAGTCAGCACTAACATCCTCCCCAGAGACTCATTTATCAAACTCCACTCCATCTTCCTCTGCCGTTTCTCCTCCGCCAGGACCAGGTGGAAGAGAGCGCTGCCAAGGAAAAGAGAGTCCAGTGGGCAGATGGCTTTGTTCTCGTCTACAGCATCTGCGACCGTGCCAGCTTCAATGTGCTGCGCCCCAAAGTCCAGAGCATCAAGGCAACCAAGGAGGCTCTAAGTCAGGAGAAAGTGCCCATTGTCATCGTGGGCAACAAGCGGGACCTGCACCACCGGCGAGCGGTCTCCAGTGAGGAGGGCCGGCTCCTGGCGCTCTCCATGGACTGCTTGTTCTATGAGGTCTCTGCAGCTGAGGCCTATCATGGGGCACTCATGGTCTTCCAGGGGCTGGCAGAGCGCATCTGTGAGGCCAAGCTGGCCCTGAAGAAGGGAACTGGGATCCGCAGCATTGTCAAAAGCATGTCGGCTGTGTTTGCTCGGAAAAGGACGGACTCGCTCTGAGCTGGCGTCTGCATGTTACTTCCCCTTGTGCTGCCAGATGCCAATACCAGGCTGCCCAGTCTCCTTCACTAACTGAAGCCCTCCAACCCCAGTGAGTGTGAAGAGAGACATGTACTTGGAGGAGTCTAATTGATTCCCCCAACCTCACACCTGAGCATTTCAGGAAAATGGCTCCGTCTGCCCCTGCTATCGTATATACCAGTGGAACCTGGGGCCTTTATATTTCAACATCTAGGAATCTATATTGTCCATCCCCAGGGTGTTAGGCCTTATTATATAGTTCCTAAGGTGTTTTCCAGTCTAGCTATAAATGCACCCCCCCTTTGGCTCCCCACCCTTCCCTTGAGGAGAAGATTTCTCAGACAAGTAGTTTGTATATCTACTGTGTATTTGAGAGTTTGTCTTTGAGTGAGAGAACAAGTCCATCTATTTGTCTATTTATTCAAAAACTCCTCCTAAACCGTAAGAGCTAGGACCACCAAATTTGGTACATAACATCCTCTTATCATAACGTAAAGCAAAGTAAGGGTTTGGCTGTGCAGGGAGAGGGGCTGCAACTCTCCCCTCCATGCATATGGGGACACATAAAATCATACAGAAAAGAGAGAATCACTAACCCTAACCCTAACCCTAACCCTTCCCCTCCCTACTACTGAAAAACACCAGAGGGTCTTTCAGCTGCTTCTCGGAGTATCTTACCTCCCCCAGTTCCTTTGGTGAGGATCTGCCATTTCCTCTCAGTACAGATGAGTGGGAAGGACCAGCTGTCTCCTAGCCCTCCATTCCAACCTCAGCTATCTCAGCTGGGATACTAGGAGCAATGGTTTGGGCATGTGACTTTTTGTATCTGACTTAGAATTTACTATGGCTTCTGTCACCATAACATTTGAACCCCTCAACACTGCTGCAAGGTGGTGCAGTGCTATGAACCCTATTTTACAGACGGGGAACCAAGGCACAGGCACATTAAGTGACTTGCCCAAGATCATTCACATGCTGGTAGATAAGGGAATTCACCCTGGTTTCCAGAGTCCCAAGCTATCGCCCTGATCCATAGACCCTCCTTTCTTTTCCTAGGTAGGGAGGTGGTACTGGGTAATGCATCTTGTAAGTCTCTCTGGCGCCGGAGTGGCTAGAGGATGCAGGGTCCATCCATGGAGGGTGCTGGCTGTGGCTGTCCCTTGGTGTCTCAGCATCTCAGATGTTTGTATCTTCAGCTGACATCAAAGCCCCTGGGATTCAGGAAACGTCGGCCTCTGGTTCTGTCCCTCTTTTCTGTGCAATCTCGACTCATTTCTGAGCTGTCACAGTGCCTGGAGTTGTCCTGCCGACCAGCTCCTCCCCTCCATTCTTTTGCTGACAGCACGTTTCTGTTGTTTAAACAATGTGTTGGCCATGCGTGTAAGATTGGAGACTTGGCTGCTTTCCAGGACTCCAGTCTCCAGCGTGGGATCCAGTGTGTGCAAACCCAGTGCCTGCTGGGAGCCAAGATTTGTCTGCCCCCTAGACCGTCACCAGGCAGGACCTGTGAGTTGAAGGAAAGGCTAGATTCTCCACACCGATGGGCCAAAACCAGTAAAATTCCTCTCTGAGGGTGAAGCCAGGTCTCTGCCTCTCCTACCTCAGCTCCTCACCTGCATCAAGGCTGTAAAGTTTGAGCTAAATAAGAGGCTGTTTGTAAACGTAGTGATTTCTACTGCAATAAACCCCCTTTGTATAGGAAGTGCCTGGCTCATCACAGCTGTGGTTTTTGTGCTGGGGAGGGGGCACTCGTCTATAGAGGAGGTGGGCAAGGATAACTGTCTTTTGACCTAGCCTGCCCTGGAGTGTGACAGTTCAAAGGCGGACGTCTGGGCACCTGCTGTAATTTGTCTCAGTCTCCCTCTTGCTGTAGTCCTAGGCCCTTCACTATTAATCCAGCACACAGCCAGCTCAAAACGTCTGGCTGCCTTTTGTGGGCTGCCCAGCTAACCCACTGATTTGACAGCTGCCTCTGAGTAGCAGGGCAAACTGATCTTTTCTCCCTTGGCTGAGGCCCTTGGTTTGAAGCAGTCTGCATACAATAAGTGGTGAGTGATTAGCGCTGGGCTGGCATTGCAGCAGAAGGGGGAGAGCGTGGCCCCTTAAGACCATGCCCCCCAACCTTGTGTTGCTGCATTGCACTAACTTGGCCGTTAAAAATCAAACCCGTGCGAGCGCTGACAGAAGGCAGAGCCAGGCTTGGGCTGGTTGTTGCAGCACTGTGGGATGAGTTGGACTACCCCTGTGCCCACACTTACAGGGCAGGGCCCATTGCCTGCATTTGCAGAATCCCCAAACCTCATGGCCCATTACCCCTCTGAGGCCTATCCAAGCCCCTGGCAGCCCGGACTCTGGAGAGCCCAACTGTAGAAGTAGTTGCTACCTGAACCTTTCTCCACACAGGGTATGGAAGAAACACTCCAGCGGTTGTGCTGTGTAATCATGGAGCACAGGCTTGGGCAGCCAAGGCAGGAATCTTCTGTCCCTGCTGTACAGCAGCTCAGCAGAGAGCTACAGCGGGAGCATGTTTCCTGCCTGTGGTGGCCACAGCTCTTCCAGCAGTGAGTAAGAGAGAAGCCAGCTAGGTCTGGCACTGTCTGCTTCTTCCAGGTCCGAGTAGGTTAGTCACATCAATCGGGGCAGTCCCAGCCCTCCTGAAAATAGTCACCCTCCTTAAAGGCCAAGCTAGGCCGGTTCTCTCCACCATGTAGTGCATGGGCTGGGCAAGAGCCGAGGCATCCCATCTCATAAATGAAAAGGTCCAGCTTCCAGACCACTGACAAGTTCTGACCCTCCACTGCCACCCTGATACAAATCCTTTCGCTTTCCCTAAGGCTAGGAAGTGCAGGGCACTATCCAGCATGGCACAAAGCACTGGCAGGTAAGGTTACCAGATGGCTTAAAAAAAATACCAGACACACTTAATCTCAGATGGTGGACAGGCCAGGAGGGGAGCAGGGCTGGCCGGGAGGAGGTCGGGGGAGCAGGGCTGGCTGGGGGAGATGTGGGGGGAAGTGAATTGGCTGGCAGGAAGCAAACTATAAGCAGCTTATATATATACTGTATATATTATATACTGTATATAAAGTGTTCTTAACCCTTTTTATTGTACATACTGTATACAGTATACTGTAATGTTTAGATTTTTTTAAGCCTTTTTTTACCCTTTTTGCTTAGCTGGTAGACACGCTCACGCAGAGTGTGACTCACGCAGTGTGAGCGTATCTACCAGCCAGGCAGTATGCAACTACGTACTGATACTCATAATAATAAAACTAACCTAATTTGAAAATACCGGACATTTATATGTCTGGTATTTTCTCAATTTATCTCCTGGACAGAAAGCTCAAATACTGGACTGTCTGGTTCAAAACCGGACAACCAAATCAGAAGGAAGAGGTAGCATGGAACCAGTCACAACATTGCAGAACATGCAGCCCTTCCCTAGCGGTTGGGCAAGGCAGCCAGCCCCATAGACCCAGGTGCTGCTTACTCTGCCAAGCATAGCTCAGGAACAAGCTCTTTGTTCCCGTCTGTGGCTGTGCTCTTGGGATCGGGTCTTTGGACCTGTAGTCCCCTCCCCAGGGATACAGGGACCAAGATAGCCGCAGTTGGATCCATTTAACTGGGAACGGCCTCAGCGCCAGTCTCACTGGCATAGAGGAAACAAGCGCACCATGCACCAGCTAAGTGAGGAACGTTTATTATTGCAGTAAATGGAAAAGCCAGTTGCCCAGCTTGGGGGATGGGAAACACACAGCTGGGAGGGGGATGCAGCTCACCTTCCTGAGGGGAACCCACCAGATACTACGCTGCTCCTACAGGATAGAAAGAAAGGGCCTCCAAGAGCTCCGCTGAGCTAGATTGCTTAGCACATGCCTCGTTCCTGACTCCACAAGCCCCTACAGCAGGGGGTGCGTATGTGTGCAGGAGATGGCCTGGCCTCTGGGGAGTGCCAACTTTCCCATTGCTCAAAACCAAACCCAAGCCCATCCCTGCCCCCTTCACAAGGACTGGCCCTCGCTCACTACATTCCCCGTCCCTCGGTGACTCACTCACCCCCACGCTCACTTTCACTGGGCTGGGGAAGAGGGCTGGGGCTCAGGAGGGGGTGAAGGCTCTGGCTGGAGATGCAGGCTCTGGGCTGGGGCCAGAAATGAAGCGTTCAGGGGACCAGTGGGGGCTCCAGTCTGAGGCCAAGGGATTCAGAATGTCGGAGGGGGCTGTGGATAGAGGCAGGGGATTGAGGTGCAGGAGGAGGTGAGAGCTATGGGGTGGGGCTAGGAATGAGGGGTTCAGGATGTGGGACAGGGCTCTGGGCAGGGACTTAGCATGGGCAGTTCCCAGTCAGCAGCACAGCGCGGCTAAGGCAGGCCCCCTGCCTGTCCTGGAGCCTCCATGCTGCACCTGGAGGTGGTCAGCAGGTCTGGTGACTAGGCGGGGAGAGGGGAAGGAGGCTCCATGTGCTGATCTTCCCCTCAGGTACAGGCTCCCAGTTCCCACTGGCCAGAGTGTGGGGCTGGTGCTCAGGGCAGGGGCAGAGCACAAAGCCCATGGCCCCACTGCCTAAGAACTGGACCTGCTAACTGCTTCTGGGGTGCAACGTGGAGACAGTAGCCTGCCTTTTGCAGCACCACAACGGGACTTTTAATGGCCTGGGCAGTGGTGCTGACCAAAGCTGCCAGGGTCCCTTTTTGACCAGGCATTCCCGTCGAAAACTGGACACCTGGTTACTCAAGCTCCCATCCCCCTGTGGATCCTGCCCCTCAGCAGGGACTGCTGCTCCTGGGTCTCAAGGAAGTTTTGCAGAGGAAAACTAGGTCTGAGGCAAGGTTGGCCTGCATGGGATAGGAAGGAATGAGGATGGGAAACCATGTTTTCCCCTCAGACATTTATAAAGCTGCTGTCTGGTGGCCCTAGAAGAAGAGGGGCTGCTCTGCAGCAGAAGCCTGCTCCCCCAGCCTACAGTGCAAACACAGGCCTCCCCTTCCGGGTACGTGTCCAATAAGCCCTGCTGAGCAAGGGCCAGCCTCAGGCAACATGGCCTCCTAGCTCCTGCCCTTTCCTACTGTCCCTTCCCTCTTCTCTGCTCCCTCTTCCTCCTCTGCTCTGCTCCCTCTCCACTTCCTCATCTTAGAACTTACATCTTCCTTCATTTTCCTGTTTCCAGCCTTCACGTTGCCACTCAAGAAACTGCCTCTTACTGTGCATACACACTATGGCCTGCTTATTGCATGTGCCTCACAAGGCAGTTCAGGGGATAAAATCAGCCCATTGTGACACACACTACAAGCCATGTAACTACAAGGAACAGTGAACCGGGAGGGGGTGGGGGGAAGGGTGCATCTTTGCTAAGGATTCAGCATTTTGTTCCTTCAACCAAGGGCTGAGTAGGTTCCCAGGATAATGTAAAGGCCCACCAGAGGGAAGGCAAGTCCCCATCCCTGTCCCCTCCAACCGGTGTCTGTGCTGGGGCTGAGAGGGAGCAGTGCTTTGAGATGATCTCCTTCGGACCCTAGCTCTGAGACCCTGGACATGCTGCTTGACAAGGCGCTAAGCGTAGCAGGCGCAGGCCGGCACATGTGGAGCAGGCTGGAAGTGAGCTCCTCCCCCACCCCGCTCAGTCCTTCTTGAAGGCCATGGTGTAGAGGTTGCTATAGTGAGCCCTGGTGTACGCAGGCTCTGGGCTGTAGCGGTATGAATTTTTGTTCACCCTCCTGCTGCTGGGCACCTCCCTGTAAGGGAAGAAGGCAGATTTGTGGGGGACAGAGTAGTCGGGCTCCAAAGCTGGGCCCCGCTGCAGAGCCTGGCGCTGGAAGGAGCTTGGCTGCATGAAGAAAGGATCCTCCAGCCCCAGGAAGGAGAGGGGATGGTGGCCTCGGCTGGCTCGCCATTCTCCACGCAGCTGGGACGCCTCCAGGGTTGGGGAAACCACAGGCCTGGAGTCCTCCTGATTTTGGTACGGCTCAGGGCGGGGCTCATTCTCACCCGCCGTCTCCTCTTTCTTCACCGCCAGCCTGGGAAACTGACAGCAAGAGAACAGGTGTTAACACCTGGCCAGCCTATGGTGAGGGTGGGCAGATGCACTGCCTGCTGGCTACTTCCTCCCCCAGCCTCAAGCACTGCCCTGCCTCTCGGCCAGGGACTGCCAGAGGGGCATTCAAGTACCGAAGAAACTGCACTTAGCTCCTGCTGCTCTGTACCATAACTAAAGGGGCTCTAGAAACTTATCAAGAGTTGGGGTTTGTCTCCAGATCTGGCCAAAATTCACTGCCGTATTGTTCCCACCCCAGAGGTGGCTGCATTTCACTGGTGCAGCACGTGGAGGAAGGTGCTATGGAAATAAACAAAGGAAGGGCATGTCTGGTCTTCCTTCCCCTGCCCTGCTTTTCCACTGGCATTTGGCTCCCCCCATTCAGCCCAGGGAGGGGGACCCACCTTGCAGCCTTGATCCAGACCTGCTCTGTGAGACCCAGCCTACCCATCCTTTTGAGGAGTGTGAGGAAACTGCATGAGCTTCTGCCCAGAGGCATCCATCTGGTCCATGCTGCCCAGAGGGAATTTAATCCCTTTAGCTAAATCCCCGCGCACTGGGCAGGGACGAGGAGGCTTCACCGCAGTTCTCACACACAGAGTTCAATCCAACCCAGCACAAATAAAAGGTCTGGGAGGGGGCCAGGGAGCTGGCGCAGTGGCCCTGGGGGGTAAGGAATGCCAAGACTGCAAGGCATGGCCCCTGCAGATGCCCTCCCTGGCCTTCAGCATCCTCCCTGCTTCCCCTGCAGGGGATGGGCCAGCAGGAGCAGGCACACCAAACTCATTCTTTGCTCGGTGGGGGGACTCTGTGGG